CCAAAATATGCAGGGGGTCAAATGGTTTATGATACTTCCCATATGAGATGATTATGGGATATTAAAGAAAGCATTCAAATAAAAGGATCTCTCAGCTCTTTGAAAAAGTAAAAAATAAAGTACGAAATCGGGTACATAATAATGTTTATGTATGACACACACAGTGGATTGGTACAGGGGTAACCACAATGGGCTAGAGAGTAGCAAAGTCGTGAGGATGGCACAGGACCGGGCGGTGCTTTTTTCTGTGGTACACGGGGTTGCTACGGATCAGAACCGACTTGAAGGCACCTCACAACAACAACGATACACATACTGACATGCATATTCTTTTTTTCTAAAAGAATGCTTAACAAAAAGTTAAGAGATTATACTCCACCTCCGTCTACATTGTTCAGAAGTTTTACTACCAACAGAGTAGTAAAATCTCTTACATAATCAAGTAAACAATGACAAATGGGCAAAATTGGTAAGGTACTGTCAGATAAACACTGGACTGCAAACCACAGGTCAGTAGTTCAAACCCACCAGCTACTCCTCAGAAACCCTATACAGGATCCCAGTGAGTTGGAACAGACTCAATGGCACTTAACAACAACGTATTCCAAGAGCGGAAATCTGGTGTGGTGTTGTAGGATAAGCAAAGGATTGTTAATCAAAAGGTCAGTGGTTCGAACCCACGAGCTGCTCCCTGGAAATCCTACACAGGGTCACTATGAGTCAAAACGGACTCAATGGCACTTAATAACAACAGCATATTCCAGGGCAGTGATTAAAGAGCTCAACTGCTAACAGAAATGATGGTAGTTCAAACCCACCTACTGCTCTGTTTCTATAAAGTTTATAGCCTTAGAAGCTCTCATGGGCAGTTCTTGCCTGTCCTGTTAGGTCACTGTGTGTCAGCACCAACTTGATAACACAGGTGTATTCCAGGCAGGAGTCTAGGTGTCCCAGGTGGCTTGCAAATGCCTGCTAAACTAAAGGCCGGTGGTTCACACCCACCCAGCAGTTCTGCAGAAGGCAGGCATGGAGAATTGCTTCCATAAAGAAATTTCTTATAAACTAGAATATCCTAGAAAGCAGTTCGACTTCGTAATAAACGGGGTTACCATGAGTCAGAGGTCAACCAACAGCTCGCAACAACAATATTGTAACAGAGTCTGGATGGTGCAAACAGTTAATTAAGCACTCAGCTCCTTGTCAAACCGGTAGCAGTTCAAACCCACCCAGAGGTATCCTGGAAGAAGGCAGGCTTGCCAATCTGCTTCTGAAATGCCACACATATCCTCTATGAAAGCAGAATTCCCTAGGACACACATGAGATCACGCTGAGGTCAGAATCAATTCAACAGTGGGATTCTGGAACCCTCGCTCTAAGCCAGGGATGGGGAACATCTAGCCCATGGGCCGCACAAGGTCCACTAAATCATTTTTATCTGGCCCTGCAGTCCCAGCCATCACATTAGGGGTGAGTTCATTAAATGTTTGACCAAAGATAGAAGGCTAATTTTTAAGTTGAAAAATTTTGGCCCGCTTATGATGTTTAAAATTTTCACAGGAAGAAGGTTCCCCACCCCTGCTCTAAACAGATACACTCTACTGCATAAGGTCTGGTGGGTTAGGCAAAGGGTTCCTTTGTGAAAAGGAACCCTGGTGATGCAGTGGTTAAGCACTCGATAACTAAATGTCAGTGGTTCAAACTCAACAGGTGCTCCATAGCAAGACCCAGTGATGGACTTCTGTAAAGATTGCTGTTGTTGTTGTTAAGTGCCAACGAGTGAGTTCCGACTCATAGTGACCCTGTGTAGGGTTTCCGAGGAGAGGCTGGTAGGTTTGAACTGCCAACCTTGCAGTTCAAACTAACTTTGCAATCCAGTCCCTTATCCTGCAGCGCCACATCAGGACCCCATGGGGCAGTTTTACTGTCCTAGGACCCTGGTGTGGCGCTGTGGGCTAATGCACCAGACTGCAATGTCCTTTGAACTGCAAGGTCAGCGGTTCAAGCTCACCAGCTGCTCCTTGGAAACGCTATACAGGGCCGCGATGGGTCGGAATCGAGTTGATGGCATTTAACAACAACAAGATATAGTTGCTAGCAGTTGGAATAGACTCCACAACACACAACATTTATGAAGATAGTTCTCCAAGTGCCAGACACCCTGGATTAATAGAACAGGACGCCCAGTAGGCAGAAATCAGTCCTAACACATTCAGTGCTGGTTAAGATAAGGGACAACAATGAGAAACCAGAACCAGAGGACTTGTGCTGACAAATCAAAACAAGTCATCTAGAAATTCTAAGATAAAGCCCCATGACATTAAAATGATCTTGTGTGTGTGTGTGTGTGTGTGTGTGTGTATATAGAGAGAGAGAAGCTGTAGCCCTCATTTCTTGTGTATGCAATTCTAATCTGAACTTAGCTTTTTCCCTCCAATTAAATATCTTCCAAACTCAAAGGGTTAAGCTATGAAACGAGGATAGCCACACAGATAAAAATAGAAGGTCTGGTCTCGTCCTTCAAGTGCTAATCACTTTTCATCTAAGTCCCTCCAGCCTAGTTCTGTGGAATCTAAAAATCTGCTACTGACAACAGGGGTGCACTGAAATGCTTTGCCTGTTTACTAGCCTGAATCTTAACCTCCACCCAAGGAAAGAGATGTGTATTTAACAGATAAGACTAATGACTTCAAAAAGTCTCTCCTGGCAAACAAACTCATCAAAAGATACATAGCACAATAACCAACTAGCTGCAGGCACTCGGAAGCAGCCAAATGGTATTGATTTTATGCTGATTCTTACAACGTCAATCATATTTTTCTCCTCTTCATCGAAATGTCGCTTGAGGAAGGAAAATTGAGCAGTGAGAGATTTAAAAAGTTATCTTAAGCCTAAAATTATGTCTCACCTTAAAATATCAGAGTCACGGAGTGGAAAGCATCACATTCTATATATCTGAGAGTATGTCTTTTGGAGTGACAACCAACAATTCTGACACATATAGATGGCTTACAGCTCAAGCTTCACTCTTTCACTAAGAAGCAAAAGCATTTCTGCCACTCCCATACCTCGCATTACAGCAGTTGTTGTTGATGTTGTTGTTAAGTGCTGCCGAGTCGGTTCTGACCCATAGCGACCCTGTATAGAGTTTCCAAGGAGCAGCTGGTGAGCTTGAATCACCAACCTTACCGTTCAAACTGCTTTGCAGTGTGGCGCATTAACCCACAGTGCCACACCAGGACAGTAGACATGGTAAATTAATTGTTTGGCAGCAAATCCACTGACAACCATGAATTACTCGGGAAAACACAATTCATTGGGGAGTTTCCAAGCCTCTGTCACTTAAAATGTAGATATTAACAAGGAAAGGGGGTGAAATAGACATGCACACAGAGTGTAAGCTAATGATTCTAATCTTTCTTTAGCAAAACAGAAAACAATACACATGATCTGAATTGTCTCTAAAACTTTAAACATATTGAATTTTAGGTCCCATGCAAAAGTTACCCTGTTTTTCTTTCTTTCCTTCCTTCTTGGTTTTCATTTTCTCTTTCTTGCTTTGTAATTATTCACCATCTTTTCTTTACATATTTCAAAAGAACATTAAATTATCTGAAAATTCCCTTCACTATTGCCCTGTAGAAGTCCTGGTGTGGCACTGTAAGATAAGCACTGGACCACAAGATCAGTTTGAACTGAAAGACCAGCTGCTCCTCAGAAACCCTATACAGGATCGCTATGTGCTGGCTCAACAGCACAAAACAAAAGCAGAACCCAGTAAATATAAAGTTTTTCAAAAGACATGTTTCATCTCCAAAGGAAT